GTGAGAGTTCTAGGGACATTAGGTGTACATTGAATAGACTTGGTAATAGAATAAATCCCTCGTTCTTACAAATTTTCCTGGTATGGAAAGAAACTTAGAATTTCTTAGAATTCTAGGGATATTGGATCTACTAGATTTAGTAATAAGTTTGAACAAATTCTTTTCTAACGTGACAAAAATTAAACGAAATTTCCAGTGACACTGGGTATATTTCTAACAAATCTCTCATGACAACGAGCTTCCTATCATAACCAAAAAATTCATTAAAAATTTACAGTGACACTAGGTATATTTTTGACAAATCTCTCATGACAACGAGCTTTCTATCATAACCAAAAAATTAATTAAAAATTTCCAGTGACACTAGGTATATTTTTGACAAATCTCTCACAACAACGAGCTTTCTACCATGACTAAAAAATTAGTTAAAAATTTCCAGCGACACTGGGTATATTTCTAACAAATCTCTCATAACAACGAGCTTTCTGTCATAACCAAAAAATTAATTAAAAAATTCCATGACATTTGATTCTCCACAAAATGAACACTGACAAGATGATCCTCCCTCAGTAAACTCACCCCTCTAATCCACAATCGGCTAAGATAATGGCTCCATTCGCATCGTCCAATATAACATCACTATATATCCTACTTCATTTCCATAAATCGATTCTGGAGAAAAATTATATTTTATGAAATTAATTTATTCACAGCCGTCACTGATCGACTTCGATATTGAAATATCGTTACCAGATCGCAATCGGAGAAGCGCCAAATTACCACTTCCTCTAAACACGCATTTCTCGCAAAGAAAACGCAAACAGCGTTGGCACAGTCGACGAAGCCTATCGAAGCATCCTATAGAAGTATCGACGGCTCGCCAGGGCAAATCCCAAGATGGAAATATCGATAAGGGCCGTGTCACTCACGCGACGCTTCCACCCCTGGCCTCGGTTACTCTATGAAAACCCCACGTGCAGACTTAGCTGCACCCCTGCCGCCCTCGTGGCGTCCATCCTTCACCCTCCGCTTCTTTTTTATCTCGCTCGCCCTTCCTCGGCTCTCCTTCGACCCCTGACGACTCATCGCGGCGCGAACCACCCCTCGGCCGCCGCTCTCCGATCCACTCGCACGCCATGGGGTAGTTTAGCATCTCAGCCCTCCGAAACGGAGCACCCCCTGCACCCTCCTACCGCGTCACATCCTACGCTGGCTCTTGGTCTTCTCTTCCTCATCTTCCTCTTTGTCCTCTTCCCTTCCCGGCACCAGAGGAAACACAGCCAACCCCTGCAACGAGCTCGCGATTGGAAGAATGGGTATTAGGATACCCAGGTGATCGGTTATGTTGTACGAAACGGTCGACTGGCTGGAAAATTCGTTGTCGCGTGATCGAACTGCTCGTCTATTAGTCGGGGCGATGATAGGGGTGAGGAAGAGGGATCACTTTTCATTCCTACTATATTATCCTATTCCTATATATTAATTAATAATAATGCTATATGTTATTGTAGGACGGTGATACTAACAATGTATTAACCCCTTCCCGTGCCATTTAGCTCGACGAAATCCGGGTCCAAACGGTAGGCGTCAACGCGCGATAAACAGACCAGATTTATGCTCGGAATAGTCAGTTTTACGCGATATTACTGTTGTGAAAGTAAACTCTAATCCTTTTTCTTTTTATAAATACTATAAATATGTTATATTTTATAATAGGTGACAGTTTTAAAAGTATATTTAAAAAAATATTCTGTTCACGTGTCTGGCACGTGATACACATGTTTAGCCCAATATCCACATCACGAGTCGGACTCATCAAAATACGGGACAGGGTTAACCACTTGCGCTGGAAATACGTGCCATGCACGTCGTAATGCTTTTGTCACGGAATCGCCAACCACGTGGTATACACGTCGTCAGGCAATTGTCACAGAAACATTGCACCGTTCTGGAACACGCGTCTGCAAATTTCTTGCCAGTGCAAGTGGTTAACAAAGAAGGCCCATCGTTAAAAGGGCAGCTCGAAGAGTGTTGAGAATTGCATTCCCGCCGATATTCATTTTGTCAGAAGGAACTATATTTTTAGAAACGGCAAAGATTACAATTCCTAAACAAGTTTGACACTTTGACACCTCCTAGAGTAGTAATATCAATATGGACCTTAGATGAAAGGATTCAAGGCTTCGTTTCTCGCCAAAAATTTTGAGGAAAGAACGTGGGAACTATTCGAACACCTAAATCAAAGTATGCACCATCTGAGAACCGGGAATAAGAGTAACGAAATGGCCGCAGGCAGCTCGCGTGTCCTTTCGATTCACCCACGCGGCAATCAAGGTCCTCTGCTCTCGGTGGAACGAAAAAGGAAGGGAAAAAATCGCGTTCCGAGAAGGAACGATTCAATTACTGGCGGCTAGTGAACAATCGCAAACGCTCTAAACGTCATGTCCAAGGCGAGCCACTATGATTTTCACACAAAGCGTGCGGCGGCAGTTACGCGACTGCGATTTCGTCATCGTCGTGGAAAAAGGAACTTGAGCGAAAAGGAAGAGGAAAAAAGAGCCGGACAAAATGGAGGAAAAAGAGCGAGGGAAGAAAAAATGGCAGCGAAGAAAAACGTCGTGTTGCTACAACGGCGGTGGTGGTGGGTGTGGAAAAATCGATTCCCGCGAACGCGTCGAGTTAATTGCCGTTGCTTTATCGGCCGCACGCTTTCCTGGCTGAATTTTGCATCAAGCAGCGCGGCGGCCATTTAAATATTCCCTGCTCGCGCGAGCTTCTCGAGGCTGACTATCGCGCGCTAGAGCCGGTGAGCTCGAATGTGCAAGCATATAGACTTTGATTGAAATATTACCCGCGTGTCAGCCGCCCGGTAAAATCCTGTAATTACGATAGCGGACTATTAATGATTGTTTACATCGTTCCAGCACGAAAATTACTATACGCCCTAGCCGGGGGAGCGGGAGGTAGCTGTAATAACGCTGGCTTCTTACCTCGGATCCTCCAACGATCGCGACCGTTCCTTCCTCTTCCTTAGCCGCGGCTTCCCTCGTTATCTCGCGACAAGTTTCTTACCAGATAATAATTACCAGAGATGTTTCGCATCGACACGGAATACCGCCGGCTGAGAACTTGGCCGAAAGTTCCCAAGGAACGGTGTAACTCGATGGAACGACGGCTCAACACCGGCCGAGTCCACATGGGGCGTCTTCGACTAGCGCATTGTTCGCGCCATCGGCTTCCGGCTCCGGCCCTCTGCGAGACGCCTAAATGATCATTAATTAAGCGGCCGTTTGAGTGTGCCATAATCGAGCAAAAAGCGAACGTTCGCTTTTGCCGGATACCGCGGCTCTCGTTCAATGGCTGTTTAGGGGTGGCAAGGTTTGCGAGATTCGGTGCAAGGGCTCACCCCTTTGACTCTCGCGCCTCTTCCTTAAACCGTATTCCTAGTCGTGGGTTGGACGGTTAGGATGGGAACGTCCCGAACACTGCAACTCGGCTCTAAGGCCCTTTTACGCCGGTGCGACAATGTTGCTAGCGTGCGACCCATTCTAAATTAACGCGTTAAGTGCCCAGTCCGTTTTGCTTGCCGTTTCGTGCAGGCCCAGTGACGAAGTGTTCATAAAACTCGGAGTTTTATTAAAACCAATTGTAACAACAGGAATTCCCAAAGGTTAGGTCCAAAGATGGAGGAGAATTTAGCACCAAAAGTTAGCACCTTTTGGTCCTAGTCTGGGCTGGCTCCAGGGGATCGGCGTGGAACTTAATGTACTAGCTCTTGATAGAGCTAGACCTGGATAGGGTTGAGCTAAAGAGTTCTGATGTGTTACTGTCTCTCGCGCTGAGTTGATCGTCGTAGGTGCTGCTTCTTGGAATTCCCAAAGGTTAGGTCCAAAGATGGAGGAGAATTTAGCACCAAAAGTTAGCACCTTTTGATCCTAGTCTGGGCTGGCTCCAGGGGATCGACGTGGAACTTAATGTACTAGCTCTTGATAGAGCTAGACCTGGATTGGGTTGAGCTAAAGAGTTCTGACGTGTTACTGTCTCTCGCGCTGAGTTGATCGTCGTAGGTCTTGACCGATAGTCTGGTCGTGATGCTTCTGGTCGTGATGCTTGTCCTGTTTTCGTGGGATTTTTGGGAGAACTCTGTCATGACTGCTGTCTCGGTGGTTTTATAAGTTTTGTATGTCTTCTGATTGGTGGATGTGAAATGTAAGTGGTGGGTGTGTTTCTTCCTGTTGGTTGTGAATAATATTGGGGTGTGTGATAGCTTCGACGTCCTTCGTTGGTGGTAGATGTTTAAATAATTTGGGTCTTTATGCCTATCGTCGTAAGGGTGGTATATTGACCCTCGCTAAAGTTCACCCAAATGGTGACTAGGTGATAACGAGTGCATACGAATCAAGTCCTTCATTTGACTAGGGACGTTCGGTCCTGATGCCGCAGCAATGGTTTAGGTCCGATTGGGTGAACCCTGTGTGATCATCGATGTCGCGGAAAGCTTTCGTTACACGGTGGGAAAGAAAGAATCAGAAATGAGGAATTTCGTGATTATAACATAAATGCCAGGATCGCGTAACGGTAAGGGGAATAAGGGGCTACCGATCGGGGTACGCTGGAATCCTTTCCATTGTGAGAATCATGGAACCATACTCTCGTCGGTCGTCTTAGAAGACCCGTGTAGATTTATGTTAATGCCCGGTGAGCAGGCTGGCCAATTATAATTTCTAATCAGCTTTCATTAGCACGGCGATTAGGTGACTAATTAGCGGATCTGAATGTAACCTTTATTAGTAGACCGCGTGACTTATCCAGTGCGCATTTACACGAGTAGCAGCCGAACGAGATTTACAATCTGAGATTTGCAATTAGATAGCACGCTCTCCGTGCTCGCGAAGAGTATTTCCGCTCTGATAAGACGGGGCCCTAACGTTTCGATTATAAATATAGCGCAGCACGAGAGAATAAAGCGACTGAGGGAACAACTGTGTTACCTTTTGCAGAAAATGGCCTGCCAAGGAGATTGCGGACGGCTTACACGAACACGCAGCTGCTCGAGCTAGAGAAAGAATTCCACTTCAACAAGTACCTGTGCAGACCGCGAAGAATCGAGATCGCCGCGTCCCTGGACCTCACGGAAAGGCAGGTGAGAACGATACCGAGAGTGGAAGAAGAAAATCCCCGAATTCGTACCTTGTATCCCGTTCTTCTCGTCCATTTCCCTGACAACTGTCAGCGAAACGCTTGTTCCGTTGATTCCAGGTGAAAGTCTGGTTCCAAAACCGGAGGATGAAGCATAAACGTCAAACACTGAGCAAGGAGGACGGCGACGAGAAGGACGGCTCGACGTCCGACGGAATGGAGAAGTCCAAGGGCGAGAAAATGCTAGCTATTGACAGCGACGAGAAGAAGAGCTGCCACAACTGTGATATCTCTGGCGTGAGCGACGTAGGCAGCACACTGTCCGGCGACGTGACCGAGCTGAGCTCGTCGGGGCGCCGGAGCAGCAATAACAACAACAACACGCCGACAGCGACGAACAATAACAACAACAGTAATCCAGCTTTCAACGCGAACAGCAACGGAGCCAGCAGCGTCGGCAGCACGAACAGCGTCTCCAGTTCGTTCGAGAAGATGATAGCGGACGACGACTCGAGATCCCAAGACGGTAGCGAGGTGACATCCCCTAGCGTGGCTGCCAAGAAACTCTCCAGCGACGTGAGGGTAAAGGTAGAGAGCGGCCACAAGAGTCCCAATCCCGGGAAACAGCAGATATCCGTCAGCAAGAAGTCTCCGTCGGCCAACACCAAGGAGCTATGCTCGGTCAACAGCAACGGCGTCCTTCTGGCAATGCCCGATTCCACCGTCAGCACACCCGTGCTGCCAGGTCAGAATTCGACCAGAAGTCTCACGCCGTCTTCCACACCCGGGACTCCAGTGTCAGTTCAACTGCAACAGGGAAGTCCCTTGGGAATCCAGGCCACGCATGCAGCTTACATGCAGAGACCCAGGAGTTCTCCCTCGTCGACCAGCTCCGTGGCTGCTCCCATGATGCACGGCTCTACCAATGCGGGCACCATGTCCCCTCACGGAGCTAGGAACATCAGCAACAACCAGCAGCCGCATTTCCAACAGCAAAGCGTCTACCAGTCGACGTCGGCCATCGACTACAGAAACGGAGTACCTAACAGGCAAACTGTACCGCCAGCCACACAGCAGACCCAATCCCAAAACAACTACTGTTCCAGAGACACCTATCAGCAACCCAGGATTACCTATCCAGGTGAAGTTCATCCCCTGTACGCCAGGCAGAACCAAGTATTAGGATCCAGAGTGGGACACCACGTCCGTGCGACGACCGGTGCAGCCTCCAGGACCATGTACAACTCCAGCATGCAGTTCCATCAGCAACAAAACCAGTACGCCAACACCGGCGGAGAGTACAACGGGTACCCTCAAGCTGGCCCACCCTATCACGCGTCTTATCACCGAAGCATGCAAGGTAGCAACGCTTACAGCACCAGTCAGGGCTACTCCGCTCAACACGACCAGACAACGGACAGCTACATGGCGCCAGGCAACTATGGCTACCCCGGCAGCGGGAACTATCACGCCACCAGCGAGAATCTAGCTACCCACGGCCACGCTGCGGTGTCGGTGCAAACCGGTCAACACTACTACAACGACATCCAGCAGCAGCAGCAGCATCAGCAGCAACACACGGCAGAGGGCTACGTCACGCACCAGCCACCCATGCACCCAAGTTCCGGCGACTATCGAGCCGGCACCAAGTGTCACCCGAACGCCTACTACGAGCAGACCAGTCAACTCCACGTCCATCAGGGTGGCGAAGCGTCCAACATTCCCAACAGCTACGTGTCCTCGCCAGACCCGTTCCCAGCGCCAGGCATGACCACCACGGCGACCGCCATCGCCGCAGCTACGGCCGCCGTGATCACTCCACCCGGAAGCGCCGCTCAGGCCGAGGGTAACGCGGACTCTTACAACTATGGCAACTTCTACGCGGAACCAGTGCACACCTCGGCACCGCCACCGTCGGCGGACAACAGCAACAGCTCGTCGGACTTCAATTTCCTCACGAACCTGGCCAACGACTTCGCGCCGGAGTACTATCAGCTCAGCTGAGTTCACGAGACGGAGAATCCTTGTCAGCTGGACTGGAGCGACGAGCAGTGTCTGCTGAACGCGTTGTACTGATGACGCAACGGCGTGCTCATCGTCCAGGATGATCGCGTGTGCGAGAAAGAGACAGTGGTTGTGGCTTTGGGTGTGCTTCGATCACAGTGACGCGGGATGGAAGAGGCTGGAGACCTTCATGGTCCAGACAGGAGGAAGTACGAAAGACTGTTTTCATTTGTGAAGGAAAATTTCGCGAAAAAATTGGCAGAAACTGGACGACGCGTGAAGCTGAGACACGAGAGACGGAATCTACGATTGGCTATGATGGCGCGAGTCGAGTTTCGAGGTTGAGAAATGATCCTCTGCTTCCTCGGTTCGAGTCAGAGTTCCTGCATGGTGCACTCTTCGAATATATACACCGTTGATGACCACGAGATGTCGAGAATCCCGGGAAGCCTCGTTTTAAACGAGGTTGACAGGGCACGCTTCGAGATGTCAATCCGACGAAGGATGGGAAGGTTCTGAACGATCTTCACGCCGGCCACTACAATCATCTCCGTCCGTAACCAATGATTGCTTCACCGGTACCGACGAACTACGAGAGGAGTTCGTTGGAAACGCGTCTTAAGGGCCGGCGGATGAGTTGGAGCAGTGCGATTCGACACCGAGGTGGCAGAGTGTGCGTGTAAATAAATTAGAAATAAAGGAATAGAAGAAAATAAAAGGTGCAAGTGCAATCTTTCTATAAATTTAACAAAAGAGAAGACGATTTCTATGATATCACAGTAGTTAAAATTCCGCGATGATCGGACCGGTCCGAACCGAACGAATAACCCGAGTTCGCGTGTGCCCGACGCGACGCCATATTGTCTCGCGAACGATCCTCCGTGGCAGCGACAGTAGCGACGCCACCGCTTCCGTATCTCTTTGTAAACCATCGTGACACGTTCGCCGCTCGAGAGGAAGGATAGTTCGCGTAATTAAGTATTTCCAAGTGCGACGCGTCGAGAGGCAGCACTATTCACGAGCAATAATTCCTAGTGAAAGAACGCGTGTACATATGCGAACCTGGTGCGACGCGCGGAGTAATTTAACCGGGAAATTTCCGCGAAGAGGAGAGGAGAGGAGAGGAGAGGGACGGAAAGAGACATCGAGAGTGTCGATCGTGACTAAGGACAAAATGGACTGTCGTGAATACGCGAACGATTCGCATTTAGGGGACGACGAAGAACCTGTTCCCGTTTGGTGAAAAAATGGCGGAACTTTGTCGGAAGTTCGTCTCGTTCCTCGACGTCGTTGGGATATATTTTCGGACATTTCTCACAGTGGAAATCTCGAAAATATTCGAACGATTCGTCGAACGTCGACGAAATTTCGTTCGATACGTGCATTCCGAGCAATTGTATTCGCTCATTTTCGATCCCGACGCGTCTTCGTTGCTTCCCTTACTTTGGAGTATACGTGACGAACGTTCGACGAGAACGTGGATGAATGATTCTCGGAGGAAGTTCGATGATTTTTCCAGCAGAACCGTTAACGTTAACCGTAATTTCTACTAGGTACTCTACGGATGTAAGCGAACCAAAATAGGGGTGGCTCGCGTCGTCGGTGGAAACGATAGTGTAAATGGTTACGAGATTAGGTGCGTTAGCTAGCGACGCGTAAGATCTTTCATTTTCACCTCAGACTCGACAGCGGGAATATTTAATAGTGCGCCAGTCGTCTGGTTTGTATAAAAATAATAAATCGCATTTAGGGAGCCGCGATCGTTTACACGAGGACTTCTTTGTACATAGCGCGCTTACGATAATCGTACACACGTATACACCGACACGTACACGCATACACGGACACTATCGAGACACACGTTGTTTATCCGACTCTGAACGTATGATTAACCACGCGATCCTCGAACGTGAGAACCCGAGGATGAGGAGGAAGAGAAAATGGAGAAAAGCGACAAAAAAAGGAACGAGAGAGTGAGAGAGAGAGAAGATGATGATCGTGTACATTCGTTCACACAGACACAACGCAAAACACAGAATTGTTTCATCCTGTTCTGGCCGCTCGCGTTTTCGTTCAACCCCCACCCTTCCACGGATTAAGCAGTAAAACCGATCATAAGTGGACATGGAAATGGATGATAATAAAAGATATCATTATAAAATTAAACAGGATCGTCGTTTCCCTTATTCATCCCCCTCTCCAAGGTCTCCGTCTCACTTTTTAATTAATTTCATCCCCCTCGAATAATGCATTTCGTTTTCTTAACACTTTGACTGCCACGCACTGTTCACATGATACGCTCAAGGGCTCATAAAGCTTCCATTATTCTCACGATATAACGATTAATTAATTATCAAATATGGTGCAAATTATTAAAGTCTTTGTTGAAAATTAGATACGTCTCAACGTATTCACAAAAATCAATCTCTTAGGGGAAATAGATGTGTCTTTGAACTATGCGTAAAATGTTTACTTCAGAATTAGGGAACCAAGACGAGCTGCAATTGCATACCCTTTTCCATCACTCTAGTTTTGTCTCTATACCTTGGTATACCTTCCTAAGAATATAATAAAAATAATTATACAGAACGATAGTTATTTCCCTTTACCCATAAACCTATAATAGTCTTCTATTCAAAGTTCTCTATTTATTTACGTCATTCAATTTTCAAAAAAGGCTTGAAATAAAATAAAAATAAAATTAAAAAATTGGTATCGTTAGACCACTATTGTCCTATTGAGTAGACAATCATTCATAGAATAGAATAAAAATAATTATAAAGAACGATAGTTACTTCCCTTCGCCCGTAATCCCAATAGTCCTCTATTCAAAGTTCTCTATTTATCTACGTCATTCAAATTTTCAAGAAAGGCTTGAAATGGAACAAAAATAAATTTGAAAAATTAGTATAACAGGATCACCACGGGCCTATTGAGTAGACGGTGACCCATGACCACCATGGCAGTCACAACGTGTTAACCAACGGAAGCAAATGTACCCTCCATCCCGCACGCTCTGAGCGTCGTTTCGGCTCGCGAGATTTCGAGAAAAATTCCACCAATCCCCGCCGACCAGTTTATGAGAAAATAATTACACGTTCGTTTTACCCCGCGTTGGCGAAATTCCGCTTTAACACACATGTCCGAGGCCCGTACCCGGCCCCGACGTTTGCGAATCGCGCGGAACCCGACAGTCCACCACGGCCATAGTGGCAGCCTTTTGCCGGCCTTTTTGGCTGGCCGTGGTACACGATCTCCGAAGACAGCGTGCAATTTGCGCGCGCGAATCAATTTTAATAGGGTGATAAATGCGGCGCATCGCCGCGGTAAAATATGGATCGGGCACGGCGCGAGAGGGCCGCGCTAAAAATAATATTTCAGTTCGATTGCTCTGATATTTCGAGTCATCCATCATCGTCGCTTCCTTCGCCGACACGGCCTCTCGCAGGAAACGCCGATCCGAATACATACATTTCGGCCTGCTCCACCTTCCGCGAGTAGAAAAGGGATCTTCGAAATTCAGACGTTCCTCGAGGCGTTCCGAAGCTCGTGATGGCCGTATCACGTGGGTGATCGAGAGGATCGTAGTAGAAATCGCGAATTGGTTTTCTTGGGATTTCGGATTTTCGTAAGGGGAAAGTAGGGGCTGGTTATTTTTCGTCGCGAATTCAACCCCTCGCGGTTACTTCGCACTTCGGCCGCTAGGTTCGCAGCGAGGCAGTGAAATATCGTACGCGATTTGTATTCGGTAATCCACTTTATAATACGGAATTAAAGTCGGACTCGAGATTGAACTCGGATAGGAGCTGCCTTCGCCGTGTTGATCCTTGATACGCGATAAAGGTTGAACTGAATTATAGGGCAAGGGGTTAACTCGATTATCTCGAGCGGAATTTCAGTGGGGATTTTTTTCCATGGAAGTCCGTGCATGAGACAGAGCGATCAAAGATGGAGGACTGGGTAGAAATTCCTTCGAGAGTTTGATGGTTACTTGGGTGCCAGTGAAGTAAGAGGTAACGTGAAAGGTCGGGTTATTTTTAAGTTCGTACGTCGTGCGCCATTTTGTTTCTATATTGTGGCATTCTAGTATTCCAAATGCACCATAAATAGGGGCTACTCCGAAATTTCTTAGTGAAAATAGGATTATTTTTTGATTCTACTAGAACTAGATTCATATTTTTTGGAAATAACATGTGCGATTAAGAAAAATGAAAATGGTTTGTGGTATTAGGGGAAAAGTGTATTTATGAGGACTTGATGTTATCAGATTCCTTTTATTTTGCAACGAAAGGAAGTTAGTATGAAATAATTTATATTGTACTATTACACTTCTACATTTTCATTACCTTCAATAACTTGAACAAACAAAATTTCGAAATAGACTTATTCTATAATTATTAAATAGAATAATTATTAAAATAAGTTTATTCTACAACAACAAGACAATAGAATCTTATTTTACATTGACAAATTCTTTTCAAAACCTGTCATGTTAGAAACAAATATTTTTCTGCCACGAATCTCCTATAATTCTTCATTATTATATTTACCACACAGGTTACTATTATCTCATCTACATACATTATATTTCTTTCACACAAATCCAAAATATCGACGTCTCCCTGTATCATCCTATACGTACAAACACACACGCTGTGTGAGCATCTAAAATTTTCCAAATCAACCAATAGAATCTTATTTTACATTGTCAAATTCCTCCCAAAACCAGTCATGTTAAAAACAAATATTTTTCTGCCACGAATCTCCTATAATTCTCTATTATTATATTTATCTTACAGGTTAAAAACACACACCTTATAAGCAACCAAAATCTTCAAAATGAAACAACAGAATTTCATTTTACATTGACAAATTCCTCCCAAAACCTGTTAAATTAAGAACAAGTATTTCTCTACCACGAATCTCCTATAATTCCATATTATTTCATTTACCGTACAGGTTACTATTGTCTCATCTACATACACTATATTTCTTTCCTA